TTTTTTTTTTTCCCCACAAACAGGTAATGAAGTTAAATGATAAATGACGTCATTAGGGTCAATGTGACTGGTAGCTTTGTAAGAGAAAAATCGGGACATAGATACATACAGAAGGAAGACCATGGAAAAATATAGGGAGGAAGAAAGTCATCCTCAAGTCAAGGATAGAGGCCTACGAAGAAACCTACCCTACTGATACTTTGATCTCACACTTATAGCCTCCAGAATTGTGAAAAAATAAATGTGTTGTTTAAGCCAGCCAGTCTGTGGTACTTTGCTACACCGGCCCTAGAAAGCTATTAAGCCTTGATATTCAGTCAGGAGGAAGGCTCGGTATGTACTTATCCTGGCCCAAGCTTTAGAAGAGAAGACGGTTCTGGGGCAAGATGTTTCAAAGCCAAGGATATACAAAAAGTAAGGTGTTTTGTAGCCAAGCAACAAAAACTCTCAGTGGCAATATTACCTTAGGGAGTATTTTTTGAAGTTTGGCTCGTTGTTTTTCTTCTTTTAGAAGATTTCCTCCGCGGTTTGTAAATCGACTTGGATCTGAAGCTTTTCTCTGTGAAAAATAGATTTTAATTAGAGTAAGCCCTGAGATGGTCAGACCAGTTACTTCTGCTAAGATTCCTTGCTTTCGTAAACTGATCCATACTAAGGAGACTACATACTAAGGAGAGTTCTGCATTCCATCCACTGCAGCAGAGACAAATGATGGTGTTCCAAGGCAAGGGGAGTGGGGTGTGAGCTCCGTGGGCATATGCGAGGTCATCCACTGGGGTGCAGGAAGACTATGGTTTGGTTCCTTTCTAATCTAAGAGTGAGGTAAGCTTTAATATGGAGTGCACAATGTCACTGGCTCCCTTACTTGGTCCAGATGTCAGATATGACTTGTCACCTACAGGGAATGAGGTATTTGGAGGGACAAGGGAGAGATCTACACTCGGAGGGTTGGTGGTGACAACCCTGTGTACCCACTCAGCTCTGGCATACTAATGATGCAGGTTAAATGTGCCCAGTTAAGAGGTTCATAATCTGGTTTTTATGAAATTAACACTCACAAAATGGGCAAGTTAAAATGTAAAGTGTTAGGCTTCTTACTCTTTTAAAAAATTTTTTTTCAATGTTTATTCTTGAGAAAGAGGAGAGAGATTGTGAACAGGGGAGGGGCAGAGAGAGAGAGGGAGACAGAGAATCCCAAGCTGGCTCTGCACTGTCAGGACAGAGCCAGATGCAGGGCTCGATCTCACCAAGTATGAGATCATGACCTGAGCTGAAACCAAGAGTCAGACACTTAACTAAGCCACCCACCCAGGCGCCCCCATTTCTGGTTTTTGTTCCTCTATCATGCATATATTATATCAGAACAGTAATCTAAATGTGTAATTTGTAAGTGTAAATTAGGTTTATACACTCAACAGTAGGAGCAGATCATCAGAAAAGTTTAGAAACAATCTTGACAATCTGGGGGCTGAGCTTGTAAAGAAATCCTATCTCCTTTCCAGACCCCTTGATTGATGACTGTCTATTAAACACTAACTAAAGGGACAGTAATCAGTTTCTCATCTCCTTAAATACCAGCACATCAACAAGACTTGCTTAATACTCTTCTTTCTTGCATTCAACCAGAAGTTAAGGAGTAACCGAGAACTAGGACATCTGTTCTGAAACAGCTGTAAGACCTCATGTATCTCTCTCTCCACGTGTGAGCCCTAGTTTCCCACCTGTAAACCTGAAGGAGTTGAACTCGGGATTCTCTTAGGACCCCTTTGAGCTCTGAGAAGGACTCTCCTTGTGCCCTACATGTCTTGTGTGGCTCACCCAGTCCCAGTCCCGAGCTCTGAAATGCTTTGAGTGCCCAGTCTACCGGAAGAAAAGGAATTCAGACTAAACAAATGTGCCCTGATACCCAGGCAAACTTTCTAAGAAGATAGCAAAAGTTGGACTGGTAGTGAATATTAACTGCCTGCCCCAACATCCACTCTCTCCCTCCTACTAGTACTGAGAACCTGAATCTATCTGTGGCAGCAGGTGCCCCAGGCACGCCAGTGCTGGTGTGGGGAGCTTAATATTGGAAAGAGCCCTTAGAGGTTGCTTGAAGTGCAACGGTGGGGGCTCTAGAGCCACTTCGGACCACCCTTTAGTGGTCGGGGTAAGGTCCACCCCTTAGTGGTCGGGGAGCCGTGGGCTGGAGAAGCCTGGGACACCACTGAGTGTGGAACAGCCATACCTGCTCTGAATACTCTACCTCTAGACTTCCTTCATGCAAGAAATTCCTACCTTACTTAAGGCATTAATTTTGTTCTTCCACGTTCCTGCATATAAGCTTCACAAGTACAGATAGGTTAGCAGTAACTCAGACTTACTGATAAAGACAAGGTTTTAGAAGCCTGGTAAAGGGCAAAGGAGAGTGGACTCTGACTGTCCAGGGCAGGCCTTCTTAACACTTGATCGCACTCTAGGGAAACAGAAGCTAGGGCGGTACCTCAAAATCCAAAAAAAGCCTCCAGCTTTCTTCCCACTTCTGGACACCTTCAAAGAGTTCTTTGTGAACCTCATAGTAGTTCCTTAACCGCACGATCTCGGCATCATGGAGCTGAAGCAGATTTTCTGTGTAGTCCTCTGCAAGATACAAGCCCAGGAGATGAAAAACTTCTAGTGTTTAGTAACCCTCATCCTCATCCTCCTAGAATGGAAATCAATTTTTCTTCCATAGAGTAAAAGTGATACGTGAATAAGCATATATCGTGGATAATAAAAGCCAGCTTTGTCACATGATCAGTCTGGGAGGAGAGGAGGGGCTAAGGGATTAGGGTGCAGGCCACAGCGATGAAGATTCTCAAAACTCTAGGTCATCTCTTGCCTTGTCCTTGGTTTCCTTCATATTCTTCCTTTGCATCCTGCCCACAATTTCTAAAACCACTGCTGAATTTAGTACAGTCTCGTCTGTCACACTAGAATTCTGCTGAGCTCTTGGGGACAGGCTCTGTGGGCTCAAATGTGGGCTCTGCTGCCTATGTGCTGCCTCTGGGTTAAGTTGCTGAGCATTTATGTGCTTCTGTGTGCTCATCTCTTGACATGAGGACTAAGTGAGATAATATCATTAAGGGTTTGACACTGCACCTGGCCCAGAGTAAGCACCTGACAGACTTGAGCCTCACAACCACAGGCTACAGTGATATACTGCTTCAGAAATCGAGAGACCCCTTACTTCCTAGTAGCATTTGCAAATGTCTGTTTATTCAGGAATGGCAACTGATGCTAAATGGCTTGAAAGGGGAGCCGTATCTGTTGGGTAGAGGAAACACTTCCCAGCAAACGTCTGCCCTCATAAAGACAAGTGAGCAGGCCACACGAAGACCACCACTTTTGTACGGACCAGTATAGTAAGGGGCAAAAGCCTGTCTCTGCTCCTGGCTGTAGAAACACTGGTCCCAGTACTGAGCCAGCTCCACTCGAATCGCCTCAATCACTTTCTTCATGTTCTGCTTCTTCAGTTCCTCCAACCGATCCACTTCCAATTGCAGCTGAAACAAGGAGCTTTGGTAAAGGAGCTTGTCACACATTAATTTTCCCCCAGGAATCCAAAAGCTCCCATGCCCCTCTCCCTTTTAAATAAAATTATAACACAAAGCAACAGAGGTAAATCAATACTCTTTGCAACAATGAGCTCATGGGAGCCAGAAATCTAAGAAAGGCACACAAAAGGACAGAAGATGAGCAGCTATCACCACCCTCGTCTGATGCTTGTCTTTTTTTTTTTTAAGTCATTTTTTTTAAATGTTTATTTATTTTTGACAAAGAGAGAGAGACAAAGCATGAGCAGGGGAGGGGCAAAGAGAGAGGGAGACACAGAATCAAAGGGTCTAGGCTCTGAGCTGTCAGCACAGAGCCCGACGTGGGGCTAGAATTCACGGACCATGAGATCATGACCCGAGCCGAAGTTGGACGCTTAACTGACTGAACCACCCAGGCGTCCCTTGTCTTTTTAAAAAATAAAATTTTTTTTAAACGTTTATTTATTTTTGAGAGAGAGAGCGCGCGCGCGCGCAAATGGTGGAGGGGCAAAGAGCGAGGGAGACACAGAATCCGAAGCAGGCTCCAGGCTCTGAGCTGTCCGCACAGAGCCCGACGAGGGGCTCAAGCCCACTAACTGTGAGATTGTGACCTGAGCTGAAGCTGGACGCTTAATCAACTGAGCCACCCAGACACCCCTGATGCTTGTCTTTAAAAACAGGCTCGCTTGAGGCAGAAAGCTGGTAAGGACAACAGACCTGACATTTGTAGAGACTGCTGACCTAGCACCCATTGGATTTCTTACCGCTTTCCTGACCTTGGCCTTTGACCCACTCATAACCGTGGCCACAGCTTCTCTCTCTTCTGCAGGTATTTGTAACCTGTCCCAGAGCTCTCGGATTTGAGCCCGCAGACCCTCACACACTGCTTCATTTTGTGACTTTCGCATTTCCAGCTGTGGGGAGGAGAGCTGACAGTTAGGGCAAAGACAGAACAAAGAAGCCCAGCCCGCTGCCTTCCCACAAAGAAATGTCTGGACTCACAAGAAGTACTCTGACTAGATTGAGAAGTGTATTTTTGTGATTCTGAACACAAACTGTATGGCTGTCATTATGGTAGGATCTCAAACACCAAGAACCAAGAATCAAATTTTTAACTTAAAAAATTAAACACTAAGCTAATTCACAGACGGATAGTATCTCATTCAAAATTTCAATTTCACATTCTTTGAGCTACATATAAATTTTTTGCTTAGAAAGTGCAAATCAAAGATGTTCATATCATTTGCTATCTTTATCCTTCCCCTTTTTACTTATATGGGCTTCTTATTTAAGACTGAAGGAAGAAACTGTCAGCTTTTTCAAACTGCTGGACACGATGGAGTAGTGAGTGGCCATTACCTGCCGTAGCAACTTTTGTAGTGTTGCGATATTCTCCAGAGACAAACAAAAGGCATCTTCATCTTCACACACCACATCTCTTTCAAAGCTTGTGTCTGGGGTGTGATCTAATTCTTCCATACACAGTATGATCTGTCTCTTTATGTTGACGAACTCGTCACGTCTAGAGGCCTATAAAATAAAATGATTACGAGCCCCTCCAGGAAAGTCAAACCGACCTTTAGGAAGTATGAGTGCAAACAGTATACCTTTGTCTCCCTCAAAGTGGCCACGTGCTGTCTGAACTGGCTCAGCTCCTCTAGGCTGGGAACGGACGAGCTGTCCACGTCATAGTGGGGCAGGCAAAGAATTTCACACAGTTCTTGATCTTGTTCCTGAAGTAGTTTCAGTTCCTGTTTTCTCTCCTTTTTCTGTTTTCGCATCAGTTCTACCTGAGTGCGCAAATCCTTTTCTAGTTGCAAGATGGTCGTCTCTCCTTCCTCCTGCAAGAGACGATGTGCCATTGTTACAAGGTTTCAAGTGGATTTATTCACACGAAGAGAAGGACAATGGAAGAAAACTAGAGTGACAAACATTTTTTTTTAATGTATTTATTTTCGAGAGAGAGCACGTGAGCAGGGGAGGGGCACAGAGAGAGGGAGACAGAGGATCCGAAGCAGGCTCCACACTGATGTCAGTAAGCCCCGATGTCAAGGCTTAAACTCATGAACTGTGAGATCATGACCTGAGCTGAAGCCGGATGCTTAACCTACTAAGCCTTCCAGGCACCCCTAGGATGACAGACTTTTAGTTAAACTTAACAGTACATCAACTCACAGCCAACAAAATATGGCACGAGGAGGGTCCCCTAAGGAAGGTCTCTAGTAAAGGAAACGTACCAGGGCACTTTGGCAAGAGGTGAAAGTGGTTGGAAAGCTTGTTTTGAGTTAGCTATGGGGTAGTCTATTTAGCTCATAACTTGATGCTCATCCTAAAAAGCCTACAAACATCACTTAACCAATACAAATCGATAGTCCTTGCTTTACTCCAACAGATAAACAGGTGGCGGGGGGTAGGGGGGAGTGGCAGTTACAGGTCTTAAAAATTTATAGAATTTTATTCCACACTGGTGAACTAATAAAAACTGTCATGTAATTTAAGGGAGATATATATTTATCACTGTATATCTAACTTCTCACCCGATTTCACATTGAAAGTTAAAAAAAAAGACTAAAGAAACTATTTGTTCAAAATCAATGATATATATGCCATTTCTGTAGATTCCAAAAAACTACACTGATATCACGATCTGTGATATCAGAACCCTCCTAGCCTGATTCCATCTAGGTACCCACGTAGTTCTTCCTGTAGCAGAGAGGGACCCAAGAATCTTACTGGCACCACATCATAGCCATCCTGTGCTGGCCCTGCACTCACATCTATTCTAATTACCTTGCCAAGCTCCACAGTGGTTTTCACTTTTATGATCCCAACACTACTTATACGGGATCTAACCAGGGACATGTTTTGGAGTCCTGTTATTCATTCCATCCTTGCTGGTGTCCTCATTCAAGCTCTGCCTTGTGCTGGACCACAAAACAGCAACCTGTCAGCGTGGTACAGAGATAATCATGCTCTGAATTTGACTATGCTCTCCTGACACTCCAGCTTTTGAGACATTTCTTCCCAAGTAGCCATTTTGGCTGGTTCACTGGTGTGCAGCTACTGGGTATAAAAAACCACAAAGGCAGGTTTTTTGGTAACTTTCCCTTGTATCACTAGTCCCTTTTGCTTCCTAGGTAGTGCTTTTAATTTTTTTTCAA